GCATGGAAAGAGGTCAAAATATCAACATTAGCAGAGGTTTGGAAGAAGTTGATTCAAAGTTGATGACTTAAAGGAGTTCAAGACTTCCACAGAGGAAGTCCCTGCAGATGTGGTGGAAATAGCAAGAAAACTAGAATGAGAAGTGGAGCCTGAAGATGTGCCTGAATTGCTGCAATCTCATGACGGAACTTGAACAGATGGGGAGTTGCTTCCTATGGATGAGCAGAGAAAGTGGCTTCTCGTGATGGAATCTGCTCCTGGTGAAGATGCCGTGAAGACTGTTGAAATGACAGCAAAGGATTTAGAATATGACATAAACTAAGCTGATAAGGCAGCGACAGGGTTTGAGAAGACTGACTCCACTTTTAAAAGAAGTCCTGTGGGGAAAATGCTACCAAACAGCACTGCTGCTACCGAAAAACCATTCACAAAAGAGCCACTCAATACAGCAAACCTCATTATTGTCTTATTTTAAGAAACTGCCACAGCCACCGCAGCCTTCAATAACAGCCACGCCGAGCAGCCAACAGACCTCAACATCGAGGCAAGACCGTCCACCAGCAAAAAGATTACGACTCACTGAAGGTTCCCACGATGGTTGGCATTTTTAAGTAAGAAAGTATTTTTTAAATTAAAGCCATGGACGTTATTTTTTAGACATAATGCTATTGAACAGAGACTAGAATACAGTGTAAACATAACTTTCACACGGCATTGGGAAACCCAAACCCTTGTGTGAATCCCTTTACTGTGTGGTCTAAAACAGAAACCACAGTATCTCCAAGGTGTGCCTGTCCATGGAAAGATGTTATCAAGGTTTCTAAACGTTCTTTAAAAACAAAAGCAGGTTAGTGGTGATGACATACAGTGCAATCCCATTCAGCAGAATAACACAGATTCCTGCAGAGAAGGACTGAATGATCCTACTGCTGGTCTCTGGTGGAGGAAGATTCTGAGGACTTGCTCTCTGGGACAGCCGGCAATTTCTGCGTCATCTCTCTGCGGCTCAGTCTCCCCCTCTGGGGGTAACAGCAGTCCCTTCCTCATCAGGCTAGTGACAGTCCATGGGTTCTCTAATGTCCAGTGCCTGGGACAGGACGGCCCCCAAAGAAGCCCAAGTCATGGCGTGTCATCGCCCTTGTCACAATCCGTGCTTTCATGGAACTGCTACGCGGTCCTAAAACATATCTTTATTCCTTTTATTACCAAAAAACCCCCAAACTTTGGATAAAACGATCATTTAGAGCCTTCTACTAACCAAGAACAGAAATACACTCAGGCTATCCCAAACAAGCCTCTGCTCTCAAAACTCTAAAGGTGGAAAATTTCACGACTCCACCCAGGTGGAAATTTACTCTAGTCCTTCAATAGGTATTTCACAAAGTGGGAAATACAACTAGTCAACAGGGGGATGGGAAAACATTCAATCTCTTGAGATAATAAAAAAAAGTTAAAATTAAAATATGTAAATTGTTTTCAACTACTAAATGAACCAGAAAAAAAATAATACTTTCTGGAACTAACGTAAATGCCAAATAAGTAAATAAATGATATTCTACCAAGTGAATGCACTATTTAAGCATGGAAAATGACATCGAAATATGGGGAAAAAACATAGGAAAATGTTACAATGTTGAAAAGCTATGTGAAAAAAAAATCAAAATGGAAAGCTGTATACCCACGGTGATTACCCCGGAGAAAAGCCTGAATGGAAATTTCTAAGATGCCAAGTGTGGATCTGTTAAAGACTCTATGTGGGATTCTGTTTTTCTCCTCCCCGTTCCCCCAGTTTTGACAATATGGAACTTTATTACCTTTAGAATAAAACGTTGCTTCCTGTCTCATGAAAATCTTTCCTCTGCTGTGGATACAGAAGAGATGCTCTCCGCCTCGCATCCTCGAAGACGCACCTCTCCCAGCCCCTCTCTCACCCTTTGGAAAGGGCAAGACTTTCCCCCTGTTTGAGTGTATTCTCTTCTGAATGCCAGAGCTACTTCACAGGGCACTTGAGGCCATCACCTCACTCCCCTTCCTCTAAGTACCAAGTTGTTCCAAAGAACCAGCGAGAGGGCTCTGTACCTTCTGAGTGAGACACAGAAGGAGGTGGCACGAATTCTAAATCAGCCGCTCTCGGGGAGCCCTTGAAAAGATGATCCACATGGTACTCTGAGGACCTCAGCATGGCCCATCCTGGCTCTAGTTGAAACCATCCTGTATTTCTGCCCTCTGGGTATGGATAAGTTCCTTAATGGACCCTAAACATTTTGATCAGCAGAAGTTAAAAAGCAAAAGAGACCTGAACACTCAACGACAGAGGAATGATTCAGTTACGGCACATCCACCTGATGAACTCGTAGGTAACCTCACAAAACTGCAATTACATATATGCTTCGTACATGGGCATGTGGCAAAAGGCCTCCAAAGTGACGCAGAAAAAGCGGGTTACTAATTACACGTCCCCGGGACAAAGACCATACTTTGTGCAGACTGACCAATGACAGTGAATGTTTCTAAGTCACTAGCTAGAGCCAAGCACTGTCCTGTGTGCTTAACACGCATTAAAACTTCACAGCAGTGCGGCTTAGAGGCTGATTATCTCATTTTGGAGAGGAAGGAACTGACACACCAGGAGGTTAAGGAGTTCTCATTTGATCCTCCCAATGGCTAAGGTTTAGAACATTCTGGTAATTTTCCTAAGATCACACTTCCTGGGGGGACGGGGGAGGGGGCGGTGGAGGGAGAGCTGGGATTTGGACATAGTCCTTCTCCAGGGCTCACACCCTCAAGTCCTAAACTGGAAGAGGATATGAAAGAAATATGAAATGCAAGAAGAATTTGTTTTAGAACTTCTTTTCCTTCCTTCTTTTTAAAAAAATTTTATTAATTTCTTGGTGGAGGTACTGGGGCTTGAACCCAGGACCTTGTGCATGCTAAGCAAGTGCCCTACCACTAAGCTACACCCTCCCCCTTTCCCTTCCCTTCCTACCTAAACTCCTAAACTTTCTAGTGTTCTTCTGTCTTTATAACTTAAAGGCCAAAAAAAAAAAAAGGGGCAACAGAGGAGAGGAGAGGGTTTTTTAATGCATGTGTTTATGTATGCTTTTTTAAAATTATGTTTTCATCAAAAGACTAAATAAATGCCACTTAAGTCTCTACTACACTCGGGGGTGAAGGGTTGGAAATGAAGAGAAAAAATAATGGAGAATAGCCAAGACGAGCCTGTTCCAAACCAAACCAAACCACGCCAGGCAGCTGCCCACACCATCTTTTTTCTTTTTTATTTCTCTTTCCACCAGCCCTTCCCGTTTATGCATGAATTCTGAAATCATGGAACTGGACTGGCAGAGGACACAGAATGTCACAGAGGATGCTACTGTCACACAGCTGCAAGCGACAAAGCTGGGAATAAAAACTCAGCTCGCAACCCCCAGTCCCACATTCCGTCACAAACTTGTCCTGTGCTGGCTATTCCCAGCTCCGCTGAAGACAATCTGCATTTACTGGAGTTCAAATACACACCATATTCTGAAAATGATCGTTCCACATATTCAGAGGGTTTAACAATGCTCTCAACTGGACAGATTATAGGGTTGACACATACTATCTCATTTGAAACTCAAATTACAAACGTTCCGTTTCTAGCAATTTCGAAGCCAGGCTAGAAACAGAGAAAGCTGAAATACACCTAATTCTTTTTTTTTCAATTCTGCGAGATTAAAAATGCATCATGCAGAACGAGCTGTTCAGAAGAAACCATCCACAACCAACAAAATGAAGTATTTCCCATAAGATAACATACTCAGCCCATCCCGTCCCCAAATTTCCCTGAAGAGTCGGGGCAGGCAGCAGGGAGACAGGACCCCTTGGACAGAGGAGGGAGGGGTCAGTCTCCGAGGGAGCACATCACGAGAGCGGAGGACTGGCTTTCGCGGCGGGGCCCAAGCCCAGTGCTCCTTCCCATGCGTCAGCAGACTGAGCCTCAAATCCCAGTTAACAGTTATGTTAAAAGTTCAAATTATCATCCTCTCCTCATTTCCTCAGCTGGCTTCCAGAAAGACAGAAGATTTAGAGCCAGAACACATAGTTCTCTGCTTCGAGAGGCCCTGTGGCTTGGTGCCCAAAGCCCAGGAAAGAGCCAAGAATCATTGTCCAGTTGTGTGGTCCCCGGGCACCAGACAACCCCGTGCCCAGCGCCCCCAGGGTGTGCTTCCTGCCGGCCCGCCGGCCACAGCCCAGCTCACCCTGCAGCACCGAACTCTGGCAAGGAAAAGAAATACGCCTCCTCGGGGCAGGGAGGATGATCATTCCTCACCCTGGATGCCCCTCTGCTCACATCCCAGGTGCCTCCTTTCTTGCAGATCACCATTGCCCCAAATCCCACGCAGATTTCAGGGGCGCAAAACGGGAAAGAGACTGAAGAAGGAGAGGGATGGGGAGGATGAGAAAGAACCCCGGCCCTGAGGGTGCCCATTCAAAGCTGATGCCCAGGCCAGACTGGTAGAGAAGAGAGCAGGAGGAGGGAAGCAAATTACTACTGAGTCGGTACCAACTCCGTGCTGGGTACTTAACCTGACGCTCCATCTTATTTCATCGTCAAGACCACTGCACAAAGTAGAACATGTGTACGTGGTTTCCAGCTGGGGCCTTGGAGTCAGGCAGCCCCAGGTTCAAATTCCAGTCGGCTGCTTGCTGGTTAGGAGATACCGAAGCTACGTGACCTCTGGGGGCTCAGAATTCTGGCGTGTAAAGTGAAAGTAGTGAGAGCACCCCAGGGTGGGGGTGAGTAGAGCCTGGTGGAAGGGTCCTCTGTCCCCCCGTTTCTGCACAGGCCATGCTGCTCTGAGACAGAGCCACAGGCAGAGAGGGCAGGACTGCCGGCCCTGGGCCCCGGCTCCTCAGACTGTAGCAGAGTGTGCAGGGCTGAGCCAGACCCAGAACTCCTCCACGAAGCCCCAGGGCTGCGTCCCTACCCCTGAAGCCCCCAGGAAAGGGCCACTCACGGCATTCCTTCTCATCGCTCTTGTCGAAGCAGTCGGGCAGCCCGTCACACTGCCAGGAGCCGGGGATGCACCGGCCATTGCTGCACATGAAGTTGCCTGGAATGTTGCACTCGTTGGTGAAATTGTTCCCAGGGAGCAGCTGGCTCTCTGTAGGAGAGAGGGGACAGGGAGGTCAGACAGTGCGGCCAAAGTGGCCAGGACTCGACGCCCCCACAACGGAACGGGCTCTTGTTCAACACAGGTGTGTACATGAGGCTTCCGGTGGTGACTTCACCTCTCTGGGCCTCAGTTTCCTCATCTGTGAAATAGACTCACAATCTGCCCCAAACCACCCCTGGAGATTCTGAGAGGACTAAATAAACAGAGGGAAAGCCCAGAGCTGGTGTTTAGCCCACAATGGGTGCTCATGATCCTTTCTTCTCCCTCTGTCAAAAAACTTGGTTGGAAAACCCACACTTTCTTTTCTGGTCATCAACAGTGGCTAAAAATGAAAGTTCCAAGACAGAAGTGAGCATGGGACTCCCAGAGCCTCCAACAGTGGGAACTACAGGTTTCTTCCAGGTCTTAGATTCTGTGGCCTCTAATCACAGAATCCTTGAACTTGGGCCAAGTCAGCAGGAACACTGGGAGATAATTTCGCCTTGGGAAACTGGGGCCCCAGCCCACAACACTGACCCGCCTGAGGTCACAGGGGGAGAAAAGGCCAGACTGAAACTTCAGCTTACACCTTCTAACCCCCACGAGGGTACCAGGGTCCCTGGACTGCTTGCCAAGAGTTCCTGGAGGTTTGGCACCAAGCCCCAAGGTTTAGACTGAACCCCACTGAACACAGTTACAGAATACAAGGCCCTCACCCCAAAGTGCCAGCTCTTAGGCTGGAAAGCAAACAGGGAAGGCCAAGACCATGGGGCAGCAGTGCTGGATTCATGTACCAGTGGACCCGGGCGCAGACTGTCAAGGGGCCCGAATCTGATCAACCCGATCCATCTGAGCCAGCTGATAAATGGCCGGGAGGTCAGGAGCCATAAGGAAGTCAAACAGTCTTAGGGGAAAATGAGAAAAAAAAAGGCCAGTCCCTCCAGGGCTCCCTCCTGAGTCTTCAATAAGCATTTATTGAACATTTACGACCAGACACTTGGATTAGATGCTAAAGATGCAGAGATGGAAGCTAGGGCTCCTTCCTCCGGGCTGGAAAGGTACAAGGGTACACTAATGATGTAATCACCACATCCTAGGAGAGGTGTCCAGACCTGCCTGCGGGTAGTGGGAGAAGAGCAGGGCCCGTGGTCCATGGTCCTCTCCCACCAGCCTTGCCAGACCCCTGACATCACAGCTTCTTTCACACCACTGTCCTTTACAGGCACCATTATTTCTACCTGGAATGCCCTTCAACCCACCGGGTCTCCCGGTAAACCCCTACACACCTGTTAGCTTACAGCTTCCACGTCACTCTCCCTCTGAAGTGTTCCCTGACTTCTCCAAGGAGAAATGAATTCTCACCCTGTTGTGTGGCTTAAGTACTATGGGGGTGACACTAAAAATATTTTACAACTGGAGCAAGTGGGCAGCCAACCGGAAAGGACGCAGCCATAGGAAGCAGTACCACATCAGCCCAGGTGCCATGAATAGTCCTTGCAGACCGTCAGCCCCACTGCACTGAATTCATACACCCTACCGAAAATGAGCTGGCATGGTGCACCAAAGAGTTCAAGAGGAGCAGCTACACGAGGGCCTCATCCGGCCCCAACTACCCACACCAGGCTCCTACAAAACCTCCCTTGTCCCCTCCTCACTCAGGCACCCTCTGCGATGGCCAATCACCCAGTCCTGCAGGCTAGTCTCCTCTGCCGCAGCCGTGACCGCAGCCCAAGTGGCCATCTCTTACCAGGGCCACTGCCACAAGCGATCCCTGCCTCCTCAATCCCCCTCTGTGGTCAGAGGGACCTTTCTCTAAAGAGTAAATCGATCATAGCACTTCTTGACTTTAAAAAGCCACCGAATGGTTCCTCAATGTTCTTAAATTAAGATAAAGTCAAAATTCAAGGCATCAAAGAAAGGTCACAAGAAAGAGGTGGCATTTGCAGTGGGTGTTGCTAGATACAGAGATGAAACATTAAGGGACCTTCACGCCCACAGAAAGATGGCAAGGACCAGGGCGGGAAGGCTCAGCCCAGGGCACAAAGGGTACAGAATTAAAAAACACACTGATAGGACCTGCGAACATATCATCCTCCTGTCTCCCCAGTTCTACCTCCAAGTCAGACATCACTAATCACAGGACTCTGTTCGCGGAGCCCATCCTCAATATCAGACCAGACTTGAGAAAACCACCACCAACCCTGAGAAGGACATGAAACCAGCTCACCACCTCTAGGCAGAGGCTCAAGACACTGGAAGGGGGTGGGTCACAGGAGAGAAGGCTAGAAGGACAGCCAGGTGCTGGATCCTGGCGAGACACGCCACACACAACTCCGAAAGCCTACACAGTTCACCTCTTTCCTAACAGCTGCTCTGGGCTCCACCAGCAAGCACTGAACACTTCGTGGCTCCAGAACATTAACTGCTTTCATTTTATTCGGAAATCATTTACACTTGCTTTTGCAGAGCTAGCTCCTTGAAGGCAAGCCCCCTTGGAAAAGTCACTGAAACTGTGAAATCTTATTCTGATAAACAGGTTTCCGGAGCCAGAAAATTGGCCAGATTAGATTCCAAAGTGCTTGCTCTGCGAGTCGAGCGGCTGGCGGGGCTTGACAAGTAGAAGAGTGACTTAGAACCACGTGGGTTAGTCACAGGTGGTCCTGCCAGCCACGGGCTCACAGTGCTTTACGGCAGGAGCACGAGTCCCTAGAGGGTGAGTGATAACACAGAGAGGCACTCTTTGTGAGCATCTGAGCAACTCCATTACGCATGCAGGGGGCGCAGAACCTTGTGCTTTAGGGAACTGATGATATCATCAAACTAAAAGCATGAAGCATCTGTTAATCCCAAACTCCTAATTTATCCCTCCTCCGCCCTTTCCCCTTTGGTAACCATAGTTTGTTTTCTTTGTCCGTGAGTCGTTGGGATTACTATATATAAAATAGATAGACAACAAGGACCTACGGCAGAGCACAGGGAAATATATTCAATTCTTGTAATAACATATAATGGAAAAGAATCTGAAAAGAAAAAAAATGTATATGTAACTGAATCGTTTTGCTGTATACCTGAAACTAACATTGTAAATCAACTATACTTCAATAAAAAATAAAATTTGAAAAAAAAGCATGAAACAAAGAGAGGTTAATCCTGTTGACTCTGTCTTCAGAAATCTTTCTCAAACCCATCTAAGGTGCTTCACTAAACTGGCACCATCCAATCCAAGGCACAAGGACCTCCTGCCCCTTTTAAACCAGTGGTTCTCAACAGGGGGCAATTTTGCCCCCCAGGGGACGTACAGCAGTGCCTGGAGACATTTTCGGTTGTGCGGCTCCACACCTGCATTGCGCAGGGCAGCCCCTCAAACAAAGCACCACCCAGCCTGAAACGTCAGGAGAGCCACTGAGAAATCCCGGCTTAAATCAACCTTCCAACTTTCACTTCTCACCACCCCCCAGCCCAGTTCCTCATAGCAGAGGGAGATTTCAAATGCTACTGATGGTTCCTTTAACTCTATATAATAAATCTAAAACTCCTGCCATGGTTTACAAAGTCCAGCGTGATCAGGCCCCTGCCTACCTCTACAACCTCATTCCAGCCACCTCCTAGAACACAAATGTCCTCCCCGCAGTCAGTCCTCCTCATACGCTGTCCACTGACTACGATTCTTCCATGCACCTTTCACCTGGTGTTTAGGGTGTTAAGGGCTGAACTGTGTCCCCCCCACAAATTCATATGTTGAAGTCCTAACCCTCAGGACCTCAGAATGTGACTGCATTGGGAGACAGGGCCTTTTAAGAGGTGATGAAGTTAAAATGAGGTCATTAGAGTTGGCCCTACTCCAATCTGACTGGTGTCCTTATAAAAAGAGGAGATCAGGACACAGACTGGTAGAGGGGAAAGATCACGTGAAGACTCCGGGAGAATACAGCTGTCTGCAAGTCAAGGGTGGAGGCCTCAGAAGAAACCAACCCTGCCAATACCTTGATCTCAGAGTTCCAGCTCTCAGAATCATGAGAAAATCAATTTCTGTTGTTTAAGTCACCCAGTCTCCGTGGCACCTTGCCATGGCAGCCCTAGCAAGCTAGTGCATCTGGCTAATAACTTCCTCCTTCCGACCTGAGTTTCGTATCACTTCCTCAGATTTCTTCGTTGACATTCAATCTAAAGCTGGCTCCTCTGTTTTTCACTCTGGTGGTGTCCTCTGTTTTCCATCATTCCAACTTGTGCTCACCAATGAATCTGTAAATATCTCCCCACCAGACTTCACACCCCCAAAGGCAGAAGGGCATTGCTTTGCTTATTAGCTCTGCATCCTGGGCACCTAGCATTCAGTGGGTTCTCAATAAATATTTGTGATCACTCTCAGAAGAAAACCAAGTGTTTAGTTACTGATTTATCCCCATCTCTCACACTTTTCCTTGGAAAGTTCCATCTACCCCTGCCTCAAACCCCTAGAAGGTGAGCAGGATCTGAACATACATGGTTAAAAATAAGGGACATGGGGGTGTCTGGATTTGTGCAAATAAATTACTACCCTGTCTGCTTTAAAAGAGGTTAGAAATCTTTTCAGCCCGACAGTAGGACTTTCTAGTGGCTGAAATATTTATCCCATCTCAGTGTCTTGGGACACATTTAGAATCCAAAAAAGACAAGCATTAGCACGAAGTTGGCTAGCTAAGGTTTCTCCTTCTCCTTTCTCTTTTTTCATTAAGCTGAAAAATGAAAAAGAGTTGCCCATTTTCACTGCAGCAGCACATCATTTACTTAAAATAACTACACCATCTGCACCAAGAATGAAAAAAAAAATTCCAAGTCCTCCCCCATTGGGCAAAAGCATGCAGCTTGCTGCAGGAGCCTCTTCCAAAATCTCTGGCACCCACAAATTTCTATGTGATGAGGGGGCACTGCCAAAACTCAAGACAGCTGCTGCATCCTGCTCCTCCTGGAACAGAAGAACAGGCAGTAGGCAATGCTGACTTTTC